CCCTCTCTCCCCCCTCCCTCACTCCCTATAGCCCTAAATTTTTCACTATGCGTCGTTTAGATTTTGGCGAAGGGGGCGGTACGTCTGCACATGAAGGCATTCGCATTTGGTAGGTGGTTTTTATATATGGTATGATGCAGGGCGTCGCGAGGTCTCACATCCAGCCGTCAACGAACTAGCCAGGGCAACCGAATTAAGGAATAGGCAAAGGCGTCTTGGAATAACGGCCGGACCTCAAGAAAATCTCAGTATTAAAAAGTGTATATTTGGCTCGGGAGACAATCTCACAGGTATTCCCTCTCGAATTCCGCGTCGACATGAACTGGCTCCTCGACATTTCTGTCCCTCTCCCTGCTCTGATTCTGGACCAGCTGCAGCAGCAGCTTGTTGTTCTGCGACACGATCAGCTCGATCTTGTCGACTTTGTTCTCGAGTGTTCGGAGGCGCGCGTCGTTGCCCATGATGTCCTTCCAGTCGTCTTTCGTGAGGGCACCTTCGACAACGACCCTACGTGGGGGCTCGGGTGGGTGGGCGATGGCGTACTGCTGTGCCTCCCATTGTTGTTGCTCGAGCTGGACTTGCAGTTCCCTGTTCATAGCTCGCTCGTTGTTGGCTCGTTTGCGCTTCTGGGGGCGGTAGCCGTTCACATCTGGCTCTCCATTGGTAATCACCATGTCCTGTTTCTCGTGCTGCGGGTGTCGTTGCTGTAGGTGCTGCTGGTAATGGGGAGGCGGGGGGGCTGGAGCTTGCTGGATCTGCTGGGGGTGAGGTTGGATATGCTGTTGCTGGTTCGGGTGTTGACTGTGAGTTTGCTGCGAATTGTGTCCCATTTGAGCCGTCTCAGGACGGGGTGGCTGTGGTCCGGAATATGCTCTTGGGACCGGGGAATTCTCAGCGCTTCCCGTCAGTGCTTCCGCGGCAAGTGCCTGTCTTCTGGCCTCTTTTCTTGCTTCCTCAACCTTCCTTCTCGCAGCTACTTGTCTCATCCTCTCCGCCTCCGCGTCCCCGTCTTCGGTCTTCAGAAATTCGATCCATTGGTCGAGTCTGTCGTTCAGCTCGCCGCCGGGTCTTTCTGGAATGGAGCCAGCCTCCCAATCTGAAATCTGCCTCCTTCTAGCTTCTACCAATCGTCCAACTGTAGCACTCATCTGAGCCAGTACTTTTCCCGTTTCTCGTTGGAATGAGGTGTTTACTCCACTCCAGAATTGAGATTTTGTGCCTTCCTTGAAGCTGCCACGTTGCTCGTAACAATGCGTGAGCATGAGTATGTGGTCGCGCTCCTCGAGATTCTGTCGTGGTTTGCGCGAACCACTCCCAGCGGAAGAGACGACGGAGCTCTCTCTCACTTCGCGCGCCGGCGTCATCAGCGAGCGCGGAAGCGGAGGAGGGTCCATTCGGGATTCTGTGGGTGTCGATGTGGGCGTGGGCGTCTCGAGCTTTTGGTTCTGATTCTGGTTCTGGTTCTGGTTCTGGTTCTGGTTCTGGTTCTGATTCTGGTTCTGGTTCTGGTTCTGGTTCTGATTCTGATTCTGGTTCGGGGTTTGGGTTTGGTTCTGGTTTGAATTGTTGGTGGGCTGCTGGCTCGGATAGTTTACAGGAAGCGCATTGCTGCTCGAGGGCGTTGATGGAGAGAGGCTGGGCGTTGGTTGCCCGGGGGTTGGGGATGCCATATCTGCTTGGACAAGCTTGAACGTGTGGAAGGCAGATGGCATAGATGGGGTCTGCTCTACGCTGGTCAGGACTGGTCGGTCGAGTCGAATCGAGTCGAGTCGAGTCCAGTCGAGTCGCTGAGTTGAATCGGGGGGGGGGGCAGAAGGATGCAGTGGGAGGGCGTCGAAGACGACAGGAGTTTGAATTGAAGGGTTTATAGGGTCGTTATCGGGGTCAGGGGTTGTTCGTAGGAAGGTTGGTAGTCAGTGTAAGTAGGTTCGAGGATGGAGGTTGTTGCGACTTGGAAATCTCTTGACCGCACTAGCCGCATGAGGCGGCTGACTGGCTGGGCTTGGAAGATCAGGGGCAAAACACTGGACACACTGGAGACACTGAAGACACTGAAGACAGATAACAATAACATAAAGCGAGAGACATAAATACAACTCTACTTGTAACTGGATTTACCCGCCCATATTTATTCTCTCTAATACTACTACTACTACTACTACCACTACCACCACCACCATATGGCCCTTGACTCCTGGGACGAACTCCATGCACTGACTGGTACTGTAAAGCATCCTCCATCCCATACGGAATGTGTCCTCTCATCGCTCGGCCACCCTCGCCAAGCTCCCCTTTTTGCACTTCCCATACAGATCTCTAACTCCTGAGTCCTAACACCTCAATGAAGCGTCTATGCTCATCCCATATCCCATGCCTTTCTGTCCACTGTGACATTGGCCCAGGCTCGAGAGCTTTTCGCATTCTGTTACTTCGAGGCGTTATGGTGGTACCGTAGTCGATTCGAGTCGAGTCGAATCGGGTCCCCTCCATTTCAGGCAGACCAGACACTGCAAGGTCACAAGGACGCCCCGAGTTCTGTCCGTAATAAATTAAAAGTCTATTCAAATTCTGTTAGAAGTCTCGTCAAAGTCTGTTTGCATACCAAGCAAGGGCTGTAATACAAGGGCTGTAATACAAGGGCTGTAATACTGTAACCTAGCAGCAGTCTCTTTAAAGTCTGTTTGCGTACCAAGCGAAGGCTGTACTTAATAACTCAAAAGTCTCCTTAAAAAGTCTCTTCAAAGTGTGTTTGCATACCAAGCGAAGGAGGCTTCGCCCCCTGGAAAAACATCGAAGCAAACACACTTTAGTCTTTAGGAATACCCACGCCGTCGTACGTAGGAACCAGATCGGCAAGATACCGCGTAGGCCGGCGGAACAAGTAAAGCTTGTAGTACTAAACCCCTAAACCATAGGCCCTTTACTTATTTAGATGATATCTATTCTGGTATGGCTGACAGCTGGAAACTTTTGGTAAACTAGTTGAGTCAGGCGGCCAAGGTATGTGGATGTCGGGTTACGGAGGTTTGTCTTGGAGACCAAGGTAGACGATGAATTGAGAAAGTAGACAAGCAATGGCACCGTGCCGGCCGGGGCTCAGTGGTATGTTAAGTCTCAGATCCAGTCGTCATATGAATCCCCGCCGACAATCGTCGAGGAGCTCACATCCCTCAAGTAACTATTCAAGAAGAGTCCCCTCATCTATTGTAATAAACATGCTAAGACTTAATAACCTGGTATCCACTGTTGCTTCTATCTGCCATGTAGAAGATAGGGAAACATCGATCTTTGATGTTCGCAACTGCTGTCATATAAAGGTATCAGGAGGAGTGATACAGCCTATATTTTACTGACTTGCTTCTGCTGCTCTCGTTTCTGTTCCGCACTTCGAAGTAGTGCATACAAAGTCTGCAGCCTTGGCAATTCAAGACCCTTTGCCCTCGCCATTCTGATAGGATTGCCCAAGATAACTTCCAGCTCCATCTTCTTGCCTCGCTCCCAATCCAAGAGCATGCTGGGTTTACTGCCACTCGTGTTCTTCTGTGTGCTTCTGAGTATCGCTTCACTGGAAGCGAACTCCGCCGGCAAAGGCATGCCCAGTATCTTCTCCGCTGTAGCAAGCACTTCGTCCATCACGCCCTTCAAGTGCAGGTACATCTCCTCGTCCATTGACATTTCATGGTTCGTCGAGCCTCCGGATAAAACCGCCGAGGGGTTCATAGAGGCGTTGATTGCAATCTTGTGCCACCTTACCATCTGCAACTTGGAATGCGAATACTCCTCGGCGTCCGGAATACCCCCTGCTCTGAGCAGCTTCACGAACTCCTTGTTCCTCTCGACAGCTGCCTTGCCCATCCCGCCGTCGGTATTCGCGTGGTCGGGGAGGTACGGGCCGATGCTGATTCGAGTCCAACGATTGTGTTTGATGATGCCAGGAGACGTCTGTGCCGCGCTGGCAATTGTAACTGCGCTGAGTATCGGCGTCGATGGAAATCGTTTGGCATACGGCTCTTCCACCCCTAGCCCATTTTGAATCAAAACGATAGCCGTGCGTCCATCTTTTACCAGGCCGTTCAAGATGTCCGAGTCATCATTGGCGAGAGCTTTCGTGCTCACCACGACGAAGTCCCAATTGAGCCTCGAATCGGCGGCTTCCTTCGGACTGGAAAATGTCCTGTGGGGCACAAATTTGTGAGAGCCGTATTTTGGAGAGGTAACAGAGAAGCCATTGGCATGGACTGCCTCGTAATTCGAGCGACAGACGACGGACACTTGGGCATTGTGTACTTGGGCGAGCCGACTAGATGGATTGTCAGTGAAAAGATCGATGTATTTTGCGATTGCAGAGACAGCGTGCAGAAGTTCCCTACCTGGCATAAAATGCCCCCACAGCGCCAGCGCCTACGATTAGTATGGTGACCGTCATATTAGGTTGTGAATGTGTCATTAGCCTTGACGATGGTAAAACAGAGAATATGGATGCAAGAGGTGTTGATTGAATAGGAGGGCGAAGCTTAGCTAAATACACGCCTTTCATTCGTTAAGCCCTATCTGACAAGAATATGACGATCTAATGTGGTTTCAAATGCAGGAAAAAAGAATTTGACAAACGAGCAGGAGAGAATTCTATTTATTGGAGCAGCAGATTTTGCGATACAAGCCGACTTCGTATAATGTTGATATTTACGTAGTAGTTATACTGTGGCCACCTAGTGGGGCGTCGCAGGCCTTTGACTTTCCGAGAGCTTATCTTTTGAACAGATCCGTATCAAGTAGCAATTAAATTATCAATTAATTTATTCAATTTGTTAAATCACAATTGGCTCCAATCAATGAGACGAATTAGGTACATCCATTTTCCAGCAAGGGGTTTCAACTGGAAGCCGATTCAGATGGGGCCGACTTAAGGGCTTGGAAAATGCCCGCGATGCCTTTGCCGGAAACCACATTCTATTTTCGAAGCCAACTTGATCGTTGGACTAGCCATACACCAGACAGAAGGACAGCAACACCAATGGTCATGAGGGAAATATCAAGCGTAGATTACCGTAAGAGATTGTTGGCAGGAATGATCGGCGGGCACGGAATGGCTGATTGTGTTAAATATGCAACTCAATCGGGATTGATTGACTTGTATATATAGCAGTGATATCGGCAACGACAGTGTTCGCGGCATGATACCGTCCTTGCCAACAGTTCCTGATAACATGACCTATGGGGGTCCAGTTCTGTGGTATCTGCAAACTTCGACTGCGCGTACAACGCCCAAATCTCTTCTCCATCGATTGTTGCGTACGGGGCGTCACCGGTCATAATCAAATACATAGTGGATCCTAGTGCAAACAGATCACCCTGAATAGAGAGTGAAAGCCCAGGAGATCGGTGGCTAGCGGTGACCGCCATGAGCAGCGGGCTCCTATCAAGAGATGAGCCCGAAATCGGCCATCTTTGCATCCAGTTGAGTATCTAAAAGAATGTTATCACACCTTAGATCCCCATGAATGACGTTATTGGAATAGACGAAATGGAGGGCGGCTGCGATTTGCTTGCACCAGCGGAGTCGTTGATGAGTGTTACGGTTCCACGACCCAAGAAAGGATGCTATATCGAATTTTGGCGCGTATTGAAGCCGAATACCGTCTTCGACAGGTCCGTAGTATTCCAAGAGTCCCGGATGTCCTCCTTTGCTTCGAAATCGCTTATATTTCCTTTTCGACAGCAAACTCCTTGCTATTGTCCTCATCGTGGCCGGATTTAACGACAGTCAGGAGATCCCGGGAATCAAGGTAAACTACGCCCGAGTTTTCCTAAGAAACAATCTCTTTGAGAGAGAATCCAGTTGGGTATTGGATGTCGCGGGACATGCTTTTTGCGTCCGTTATTCTCCTCGAGGATAACGATTTGGGCGGTGTTAAAGTCCGAGATGGTAAAGGGTTGATTGGAGATGAAGGTGAGGCCGGATGCAATCGGCAAAATCGACAGTAATTCATAAATTGAGGAATAGACTAATATATATACGAATAAAAGATTTAATCTTAAAGCTGAAGACCTGGTGGCCATTGTGGCCTGAGGCCACAACCGACTTAAACACCATACCGGTAATGTGTGTCCGACGGCCCCGGGCTCTGATCTTGGCTTGTCTTTGACTTTGACGCCGGATGCTTGCTTGGAAATCCTGCATCTCACCGCATCTGGGATCCCTCATCATCTCAGTCTCAATCACAACCACAATCACAACCACAACCACAATATCAACTACAAATTCTGTTTGACCAGACTTCAGTGCGCCATAATACTCCTTCAATCCCCAGACTGCATACATGAACTCAGGTCCCTTTCCAATCACTTCGCCGTTCTATCGTAGAAAAAGGCTTGTCTTTTTTATTACGCGTCGTTGCGACCCACCAGAAAGAACACAGCAGATCCGAGAATCTCAAACCAAACCAAACCGAATCATAGAAACCACCTTGAACCCCAACTGATCTCAGAGTCCGGATAATGCTCCTGGGTCTCCTTTGCCATGTCAGAACACTATCCAGCAATGCCGTCCTACGGATATCGAGATCAACAAGCCATCAATCCTCAGTACCTTCCTCCTACCTACCCCAACCAGTACGATAGCCAGCAGGGGCAACCACAGATGGCGCCTCACTACGATGCTGCGATGGCTGCATACGGATATAATAGGGCCGCTCCATCATTCAGCGCGTCTGCTATCGCATCAGGTGTTCCTCCTCTGCCTATTTTTCAGGGCTGGAACCAGGATTCAATGCCTTTGCCACCCTACACCACGCCACAAGCGCAAACGCAAGCACAAGCCCCGACTCAGTATACTGGTTATAATAATACTGCGTTCAACAGCAATGCGCAACAAAACACGCAATACTACGCTCCAACCGCCCAGCCATCATATCAGCAACAAGCTCCAGAGGTTAGACCTTACGAGCAAGGTGAACAGAGAGAGGGGGGCTTTGATGATGAAATCACCAGAGCCACACACACACCTTCTGCGGGATACGGTGCTCCCCAATACCTAGAAAACGGTGGAAATTCTTCTGGTGGCACTGGCTACACTGATAGTGCGCAACGTGCCGTGTACTCGAAGCCGAGGGACTACACTCCTGGTATGCAAGAAGCAATTCTCTACGAAAATGTTCCGCAGCTTATTTCTCTTCCAGCAAATAGCTATAGCTTTCCTCCTAGAGACTCTTCACAGTCAAGAAGTCAACAAACAGGCTCTTACCCGCCTTACGTCCCACAATCAGGAACAGGCTATGAGGAGCTGCCAAAGCCAGGATCTTACAAACAGAGTCAGAATGGATGGTCGCACAACGGCGCTCATGGCAGTGTAGATGCTGATGCTGGATCTTCGATTCCGCTCGATAATCTAACGAACGGGTACCAGCAACCGTCCAAGCGAAAATTTCCTTCTGTCTCTGGGAACATAGACGACCAGTTGGCTGGGCAATCCAATAGATCCCGTACCCTTGGAAAGGCAGGTTTCACCAGCACCCCTGGGAACGTGGTTTCCCAAGTAGCTGGGCGAACAAATGGACAAGCCAATGGACACAGAGCAGGATTACCCGTGATATCTAAGGACGTTGATAATCCTCAGTCTGAACAACGCAACGGAATCGAATCATCCTCAAAATCAACTGTCGCAGCAAATTTCGGGGACATTTCCAGAGTCGCAGAGATTCGAAAAAAAGCCCAAGGCGCTATACTCAATCTCTGGCCTTATGACGTACGATATCAGACATACATTGACGAGGGATTTAGTGAAGAGGTCATTGGAAGTCTCTTTGACGAACTGAAGATGTCCCGAAACCCGCCAGCTAATATCACTACCAACTCTAGTGGAAAGATGGGAAACTCTTCTCCTCAGAAAGAAAATGAGCCAGAAGACAGAAATCAGAAAGAAAACAGAGCACTGGAAGAAAACAATGTACAACTGGCGGCCAAACCCGCGGCTTTGACCGAGAAGGAAAAGGCACTCCAATCAAAATTAGAAGCTCTTCGGAAGTCACGAGAAGAGCGCGCTCAAAGGGCAGCCGCTAAAATTGTCAACAAGCCTCAACCTCAGCCTCCGCTTCCGACTACCGTCCCCACTTCTCCGGCGGACCCACCTAAATACACACCCCCCACCATCACTACTACAACCCAATCAGCTCCACTCCTGACTTCTGTCTCGCCTCTTCTTTCGAAAACACAACCTCAGTCGAAGAAAATCGACGCGTCGTCGACCTCGTCTACTATGGTGATGCAGCAACAAACTTCTATCATCCCCGGGTTGTTCTTAGCCTCACCTGCTGCAGCCAATACTCCTACTGCTACCCCTACAACCGCTCCTAGCACAATGCCGCCTTTGAATGACAGAAGCGTGCGGAAACGCCCGGTCGCTGCTGATTTCGACAAGCCTATTCCAACCGCAGCACCTTACAAACGTCCCTTTGGTCAAAGTCGGGTTGATCACACCCTAGTGATTGATGTCAGCGATGAGGAGGAGGAGGAGGAAGAAGAGGATGTTGCTATGGATCTTGAATCTCAAGCCGACCAAGATTCTCCAGTGATGCCAACCACAAACATGGCCGCCCAGCGATCTTCCTCATTCCCGAACCCAAGCCTTACGACGCGTCAACATATCACCCCTTCGCCCAATCTTTCTGCCAAGAACACCCCCCCTGCGTCAGGTGCTGCTGTAAACTATACGGCCGGAGTTCAAGATCTAGGACGCGTGGAGAATGAGCTGAAAGAGTTAAAGAAAAAGATTGCTGATGCAGAGCGCCGCCAAAAGGCAAAGCAAAACGTGAATGCTCGGCAACCAGCACCGATCAATCCGGGTCCCAGCAAAGTTGACGCCTTGGTCAATACTCAGAAGAAAGCTGAGATTGCAGATACGAAGATAGCATTAGAGCAACAACGAGTGTTTAACGCGAAGGCTGACGAGTCTGCGAAGGCCGAGGAGGTCAAGAAGATCGAAACTGAGCAAAAGCGCCTCCGCCGCGCGAAAATCGCTGCAGATCTGCCTCGGGTGGACGCCGCAGTCTTCGAATCACGATCGAAACTTGAACAAATTCGTGCTCAACTAGCAGAGGCGGAGGCCGAGCATCAGAGAGAATTGGAGGGTAGGCGTCTATTGGATGAGGAAATGAAGCGGCTTGGTGAAGAGGCGGAAGAGCACTTGCAATCTGAGAAGGACAAACTCAACCAACTTAATCAGCAAGCGTCCGCAAGCAGTGAAGGTATGTCAATTATTCTCAGCCATTTGCGTCCTTATCCTCTACATCCGCTCTGCTGTATTTGTACTTACTATACAGAACCCTCTCACTCTTCATCTACCACTACCGCAGGTGTCGAAGTCTTCAAGACTCCACAATCTGACCAAGATCCTCCCGCTTCCAGCGAAGTTGTTATGTCACCAGGACTTCCCGAGGAACCCGTTACCATTGATTCTGGAACCCAGGCAGTCACTAATCTGTCCACCGGTCTTGGAGAAGTTTTATCGGCTGCCCATACCCAGGTCGTTAGTCAAGGTCAGGCCCAAACCTCAGTTGATCATACAATCAAGCAGGTCGATGGACTTGACGTCGTTGCCCCCGCCGAAGAGCCAACTGGATCAAAGGGTGGGATCTCAACTGACCGAGCTCTTGAGGCAGCATTACAAGAGGCCGTGCGTGCTGATACTGATGCTCACGCTAATGGGGAGGATGATATGGATATCGATGACTTCTACGCTCCAGACCCATCTCAGCTTCCCTCCGAATCTGTTTCAGAGCACATGGACAAGGGTACGCACTCCCCGGAATACTCACCAGAACTCGACCGTACGATTGTAAAGGCACCTGATCGTGAACCGGACGACTATGAGCCACCAGAAGCTGCACCTCCCGATACAGATATGGAGGAGCCTTACTCTCCGCCTTTCAGCCCTGCTCCTCCCCAGATTACCGATTCTGTCCCTGCTGAGACATCCGCCTCTACCATTCCTCACGTTTCCGAAACTCTCCTTCCAAAGGGGACATCTGCCACCAATCTGAATGATGTTCAAGCTGACGTTGTCGAAGATGGTGAAATCTCTAACACGCCAGAAGTTGACACAGCGCAAGCAGTAGCTAACGAAGTTGGACGTAGTAAGGAGAAGGCACTAGACAGTGTTGCTGTTCTCCCACAAGTATCGCAGATGGTTGAAGTAACAAAGAATTTCTGCGTCAGACCTGAATTGTAGCTGACAACCTCTTAGGTTTCTTCTGAGTCGTGTAACAAGCCTGATTTCTATACTCCTTATGAGTCTCCTCTCAAACGGTTTGCGGCCTATCGCTTCCATCCCAACTTCAAGCAAGATATCGCCGGTGGTCTGCGATCCAAGACTTACAGCCACAAGATTCAGCCCAATCAAGAGTTCTGCCGCTGGGAGCTATCTGGTGGTATCTGCAACGACGCCACCTGCGAGGAACAACACTTCCGAGACATCGCTCTCCCTGGTGCGTGGGTTGTTAGACACGCCATCTCAGACCCCTCCTCCCTTAGTATATTTTTGTTTGTGCTAGGCTAACCTGTACCTCCACAGATGATGCCATTCTCACGGCTCTTGGATCACCGGCTGAGTTCACAGGCGAGCAGCGCGAGCTATTTTGTGCAGGTTTGCGGGCTGTCCTACTAGATCTGCGAGTGCGGAAGATCCGAGACTTCGAGATCATTGCTGCTGAGATTGTTGCCCATCGCGCAAAGTTCCTCGGCGATAAGTCCAAAGTTTTGGCGACGCTTGAAGGCACGACCATCTGAGCCCAGCCCACTTATGCTACTCCGATAGCCTTCCCTCCTTCAACCTGTCCCCTGGAGCCGGACTTGTAGAACACTACTTTCAACCTATGTTGTTGGACCGTCACACACGATTGATGGTGCGATACCCTAATACGACAATTTTCTCTCTGTTGATCACCGCTAGCTACTACTTTAGTTCTAGCTCGGCCGCTGTCGACAATTTGGACTACTCTTTTCTCGTTCCTTGCATTCTTTCTCGGCGCTATCTGCATAGGGAGGAGTTTTTGCGTAGCTGCCACATGCATGGTACGGCACGGGTACTTTCGAAAGTGCCGCAGGAATGTCACCAGACTCGCTGTGTACATTGTCTATGCTTTTGCTTCGCTACGATACCCCCCTGGGCTCTTGAGACGAAAGGACTTGTTGCAGACGCTGGTGGCAAAATGAAAAAGCCTGCGCTGATAGTCATAATGAATGAATATACTCTATTGCAAATTTGTGGTCTCGTTCGTTCATCAGGTCCACGAGTGACAGAGTTATGCATCGACATCCCTTATTGAGTAGGTTGGTAAGATACTTATTTGAAGCAGATGATAGGTTGATATGTCAGCTGGCGTTTCCGCACAGTCAGTCAAAATACGGAAACGGAGATTCGCTGCCCCTGAAACCCCATCCATCCCCGTTCCCAAAAAGAAAAACTTCTTTTACACGGATAAATTTCTCGAAGCGCAGGAAGGACTACAGAACAGAACATCTCGGCAGGGCCCTTTTTCACATTTACTCTTCTTTGTAGGACCTGGGTAAGATGTACGTACTACTTTTCACTGATCATTGCTTGCTGCCTCGCTGCTTATTTGCGCGCCGGCTGTTTTTGGGGGGGGGAGAGACATCTTGACTTCTTGTACTACACTTCTTTCTTTGCGTTTGCTTTTCTCATGTTTCTCGCTGGCACTTTTACTATTGTTTGGTTTGGTTTAGTCTGGTTTGGTTTGGTTTAGTTTGGTCAGATGGGTTCGTTCGGATGGGGGGCTCGTAGATACGGGTACGGGTGGAGATCTCGTAGCTGTGGGCGGGCTTTGGAGGGTGGGTGCAAGTGAAGTGGAAAGTTGGTTTGAAGGGCGGATGTGGATGTTAGGGGTGAGGAGGGGGGGGAGTGGAATATATACGAATATATATATATATATATATACTTGCAACTGACTTACGCTAATTTTTTAAAAAAAAGAAAAAAAAGTTAAAAAAAAGAAAAAAAATAATAGAAAATATACATATATTTATCCAGCGGTTATTTCTACCTGCTTGTAATCGGAACGGGAATTGGGTGAGGAAAAGCGAGGGAGAATAACATTTTGATGTTTTTTTTTTAAGCGAGCGAGACAAATCACGGAAAAAGTGGTGCGGACCAAAAAAAAAAAAAAAAAAAAAAGAACAAAAAGAAAAAGATAAGAAATTTCGCCAAAACTCAACTGGACGCCCATTTACTATTATGGGGGTCCAGTCTACAAACCTAATTGAATAGGTTATATCGATGGGTGGTGTCAACTGGCATGTTACCAGCTCAATGTGTTTACCACTGAGCCACACCTACCAGATTGACGGAATGGGAGGTGGTGTTTGAAGCTATGAAGGGGTTAGTGGGATTTTGCGCCGGGCCGAAAGAAGCGAGTGGGTTGGGTTGGGCTGTGAGCGAGGTAGAGATGGTGAATAGGAGGGAGCTCATACTGTGCTTTATATACATGGACTTTATTGCTGGTCTTCTTCTTCTACGTTGCGCATTGTCTGCTATGGATTCCTGCTAGGCCTCTGCAATGAAAATTGACTTGAAGAATAGCGTCTGACTCTGCAAAGGCCTTAGCATCGAATACGGCAAGTGCTACCCGCTGCAAGTAACCATTGGGATGCAGCTCTCGGGGGAGATTCACGGCTAGTGGTAGCCGGGGTTTGTTGACAGCCAAAAGAAGTGAAGGAATAGATCAGCCTAGGGGCATAGATAGAAATTATCCTTCGGCTTCACCGGGATCTGATAATCACAACTGCATCTGTTTACTTGCTTTTGGAACCATGGAGCTAGGAGCGAGTTTCGGCAGACCGAATTAAGAGAGCCCGTTTCAAGGGAAACTTTGGTAGAGAGTTTGATTTTCGTTACGTTGATATACGGAAGAAACATAATCCCTCGATGAGGGAGGGACGGCAGCTTCTCAAATATGGAATGCCAAACAGAATTCTAGGCTACCCCCCTTGTCACCGCGTATATTAGCTCTTCATCCAGGCATAGCAGCGCGGATCTCTACATCTCATGAATTTACTTCTACTTTTGAAGCAAATGTCAGTAATCTACTTAGTGCTTCAGATAAGTACTGAAGCGAATCTAACAATCGTGCTCGAGCTTCAGAGGTAAAAAAGCGGCTACTTCCCAGTACTGGACTTGGTCTACACATAATACACCAGTGACATCATATTCGTCAATCCCAATATCCATCCAATTCTATGCTACCCGGCTTTCCGAGATATTAGTCTCCGAAGACCTCCCTTGGTCCTCATAGGTAGTCATGATCTCGCGCAGGGATGGGTGCCACCGAAAGCTCTTCATCTGCGCTATGCACGTCCCCGCCGCAAGAAATACATCGAAGTAGTATGAGTGCCCCAGAAGCCGGAACCTCTCCACCAGGGAGTTGCGCATTTCGCCACGTGCTCTCGTGTAGACTATTGCTGCCAGCGAGGTTTGCGGGATCTCGTAGCGCGGCTGGGGCTCAAGAACTTGGTTAGCAGGGTTCCGCCATATGTCCTGCTGAGACGGATCGATGACCCTCCCCACCTGAGCGCTGGCTACCCGGTAGTCAGTCTGAACCGTATGCCTCGAGCATGTGGTTGGTGTAGAACGGTCGATCTGCCTGGTCTTTCCACGAATCGATGTCCAGGACACCGCTCATCAGTACGCATAGCCTGGAGAGAGCTGTTGCTTTCTGACCTAAGGGTCTGTACTTGATCGGTATACTTTGAATTCTTGGGAATAGGTGCGCTGATGCATATGAAGTTGCCATGATTACTTGGATCGGGCGAGTGTTTTTCACACTTCTTGAGTCCTTGGGTTGCGTGATTGACAGAGTGAAACATAATCAGAGATTTCAGTGGCCAGTGTTTAAGTATAGAGGAGGTACAGATAAATGTGTGGAATTCGCAAGAACTATACCGTCTTGCTGATATATGCTAACTAATATGACCTATCCTTCCTTTGTTAAAATAACCTATCTGTCAACTTTGATACCCACTTTTACTCGTCTCTATTTTTTGTCTCGTGGACCGTGGTATAACATACGTAAGATAATCATCACAAGATTCGGCCTAGTCCCTCTTAGATACCTCTGATGAAAAGTCACGGAGGTAGCCTTGTGACTCGAGAAATTTCTCGCCTAAGTTGTGCACAACAACAATCCATTTTCGGCTAAGCCCCTTTCTCGGCCTCACCTCGCCTGATCATGACTCCACCTCGCCTCGTCACTGAACGACGACTCTCTTTTACGACACCACCGGCAGACACAACATATTATCGACAACTCAATAAACTTCGTCAAAATGGACGCATTCAAATGCTTCACGAAGCTGCCATCCGAGCTCAGGATAAAAATCTGGAAAATTACTTTCCCGGAACCCCGCATCGTCCCCATCCGCTTCAATCGAGCAACCCAACAATATACATCGAACACGCCACCCCCAGCCGCCCTCCACGCCTCGATCGAATCCCGCGCCGTATTCCTCGAGACCTACACAAACCTGATCCTCTCTCCGAGACATTGCTCCGCCGTGTTCGTCGACCTCGCCCGAGAGACGATATATTTCGACCAACTCGACTGCAGTCCTGAAGGCGACCTCTCGCTCGACCTAGCGCACAGCCCGCACGCAGACCGCATCCTGTATGTCGCGATCCATGCGCATGTCTGGGATGTACTACGGATGTTTAGATACGAGGTGCTGAGCGAGGTGAACGCCATGCGGAACCTGCGGACCCTGGCGCTGGTCATGTCGAAGGACTATGATCGCGGCTTTCAACAGAGGCGGATAGAGTACCATGGGAGCGAAAGCCTGATCATCGACTCCGAATCTAACACCGTGGGCTCGGAGCTGCGGGATGTCCAGTTTGCCGTGGAGAATCTGCGGTGGGAGTTGAAGCATAAGCTCGAGTTGCAGGGAGGGAAGGGACACGTTCCGAATGTCCAGATGTGGTTGCTGTGACGGCCTGACGGGTCATTGTTTATCGGGAATTATATGGGATTTCAGCATTGGATACCAAAATTAAAAGGGGTGCCCATGGAGTTCTATGGGGAGCAGCTCCTGTGTAGCAATATGTTGGGGGTGGGGAACAGTGCGAAGACGGCTGGTCAGTCACAGTAGCGTTCCAGACCACGTCTTGCTATCTTCCGCTCCCTACCATGGGGGGGATGGGTGGCATGCATGTGGAGTTCAGAGCTGATTTATTATGGCAGAAATATCCTCGCTCAAGGCATTTGGGATGAGGACAGGCTCCAGCGGGCCAAATTTTTGTCCCCGCTTGCTTTAGTTATCATTGGCTCGGCATATGCCACCTCTGGGTCTTTCAGGACCTTTGAATTGCCAACTAATCATTCGTATATCAAAATTTTCAATGTTTGTTGCAGCTCACGCAGCACACTCGGTTCCACGCTTCGGTGGTTGCGGAATCTACTCTACAAGTTTAGTGTGTTGGGGGTCTATCCGTAGGTGCTTCTGCTAGTCAAAAAGTGCATCGTGATCGCTCCTCTTTGTACTCCGCTCCTCTGAACCCCATCCACTCCCTAGAGGCCTGGAGCAGTGCCCCATCCTGATCAGGGTATTTCTCCTGGTGCTCATCTGTGGACCAGGTTCTGGTTCTCTTTTACTGAGTAGTGAAAGGGTCGAATTTTGCTCTCGGTGCCTCTTTGTTCGCGAGGGCGAGAGAAGCTCTTTTTTTGAGGCGGGTAATTAATTACCCGCCACTTCTTGCCGCATCCCAGATTATCCCGATCGGATCAAGTCAATTTGTGACACTGGTGCACGAGATTCACAAGTCGGTCTGGGAAACACTCGATTGGGTTATCACCGGCTGCTATTTTTTCTCTGGCAAATTTCTCATTTCCAAACTAATCATCGATTTTTTAATTTCTTTGCATAAAGCGACCTACCTCGGCTGCCGCGGCTGTTTACTAATAACAGCAAGATCATCCATTTCTGTACTTGAATAGAGGCACGTGCATTATTGCAAGTTGAGGGGGTTTTTTTATTTTATTTTTTATTAGAGAAAATTAAAGCTTCTTGCGTGGTTCGAGATCTTAGACTTCTAGCAATACGGCGTCTTTTTCCGGATCCGAACTGGGAGCTGAATAGCGCATTCATGCAAGAGCTCGAATGGTAGAAGCCCCAAATGTGTTCTCTCGTTAGTGTGTAAGAAGTTTGGTTTTTTCCTCGTCTTTTTACTTTTCTCGAATCCGTGCTTTTGGAGTCTGTGTTACTTAGCAAGAGAGGCCCTTCGGGTCGTACAGCTACGGACGAGTATTGGTATCGACTTGCATATTTGAAATTGCTCTGATTGAACTGTACGGGAGACGCATGTCTCGAGTCAATTCGGAGCCAGCATCCAGCCCTAGACATAGCCCATCACTTAACCAATGTTCCTGATTCGGCCTCTTAATGCTGTTTTACAAACGCGCCTTATAACGAGTCGATTGTCCCTCCTCCGTAGGCCACTGATCATCAAGGCCTTTCGGTGAGTATGGTCTCCATCTTCGTTAACTGGCTGCTGGTCGCCTTAACACTGGTCTCGGTATCACCGAGCGAATTTGGCGCCGCACGAAGAGCGACAATTAAACGCATCCCTTCGCAGGTCGCCACCGGGGACATACAGGCCTTCTCCACCTCCAACCAAGCCGGCCTCGACGCTCCTCGCCTCTCGGCTGTCAACGCCAGCTCCTTCAACTGGTGGTACTTTGACGCCTTCTCCCCGGATCTCGACAAATCTCTCGTCGTCGTCTTCTTCACCACGCTCGGCTCCGCCTTCCCATTCGTGCCCACGTCGGAGGTCGTCACCCAGGTGGAGATCTACGCTACCTTTCCCACGGCACCTTCGCCGGCAAGTACTTGGATGCGACGGAGACCGTGATCACGATGACTGATGGAAACGGAGCGTCGGGGGACTTTGTCGGGTCCGGAGCGAAGTTCCAGGGCGCCCCGGACCTGAGCACGTACTCCATCTCGGTCGACTCGCCGGCGAACGGCATCGTGGGCACATTCCATCTGAAAGCCAGGGCACCACCGCATTATCCACGTGGCCTGCTCTCCCAGTCGGCGTCGGCGCTGCTCAGTCCACATATCGGATAGTCCAACACGATTCCCGATGCAGAAGGCACGGTCGACTTTACCATCTTCGGTAGCAGGCTGAAGTTCTCGGGCGCGGCCTACCACGACCAAGTAATTCTGTTCTATATACCACATCCTATACATCATTCATCCATCCATTGACTTGACCTCTGCACGCACCTTCCAGAACTGGGGCGATGCACCTTTCCCGACCACCGTCGCGAGCTGGTACTGGGGCCACGCGCGTCTCGGCCCCTACGCCCTCGTCTGGTTCTCCTACCTCCCGCGCGCCGGCCCGGAACGAGTCAGCTCCTACATCGCCCACGACGACGGCACGGTCCTCGCCGCCGGCTGCACCGCCGACGCCGTGCGGGTGCGACCCACGGGGCAGTACCCGCCGACCCAGCGCTCGGGCTACCCGAGCGGCTTCCGAGTGGATTTCAGGCTGGCGGACGGCCGGACGTTGAACGTGACGGTGCGCGCCGAGAGCTTGATTGCGGATGCGGGGGCCGTGTATGGGCGGTGGATGGGGGGTGTGGAGGGGAGGCTGGATGGCGGCCGGATGATCACGAGGGGCAAGGCCCTCTTTGAGCAGTACGTTATGGTGGCATAGGCCCGGTTGCAGTTTGGGATTTGGGACGGGGACAGTGAAGGCGAGGGAGACGGAGGGCGGACTTTGGACTGTGGACTGCCTGGAGGAGGTAGGGCTCAATAACAACTACGCTTTTAAAGCCAACACAGATCATCACTGCAGCCTGCTTGAGCGAATACTCAAACATCGATACCTTTCATTCTCGTACTTCTTCATCATGCCCAGTGAGGAACCGCTGGCTTGTGTTAATCCACTCACGGTATCACGATCGGAGTCGAAGTCGACCTGAAGCGGCTTATCGAAAGCTCTTCATCTCCTCCTTTCTTATGATCTACTCACTTACTGATCAGAATAATGTCACCCTGCCTTTTCACACAGTCAGCATCACTATATCACCTAACTGTCTTCTCTTCCCCTTTCAGTTTCTAATATTTATCGAGCTTTCCGAAAACACGAATCAAACAGTTTGCAAAGAAAACGAGTACCTCGCTATTGTTATCATCATGATCGTCATCATCATCATTACTACCATTACCATCATCATCAGCTAGTATTCTGCCATGTACGCATACATCCTTCCTCATCACAGTAGCTTTCGCAAACGATAAAGAAAAACCCTGTACAAGTATACATACAGACTTGACTTGACCATGTGGAGGCCCGGGCAGTCAGTTGATTGAGCAGGCGTCGAACTCGGAAATTTGGGGGGGATCAGAGAACGTGTGTGGGGGCTTCTGCTACCTATCCAGGTAGGCGGGCAGGAAATATACTCTTGGGGTATATAGACGCGGTTGCTTTCTTTCGAGGAAATTCTTCTGTTTAGGGAAAGAGTCTAGAAATCTGAACTGGAGGTCTGGAGTGAATGCTTCTACTAGAATTCGACTCTCGAGATGCGATGTTATTTATTATCTTAGTTGATGATAGGGTCGTATATAGGATTTTCCGTGCCACCGTAGTGAGAGTTTTTTAAGAGCGGCGGAGGATGGGGTTCTCTTTGCGGGGCTGGCGCTTCGGGTTTTGAGTGGGTTGAGAAGGTATTGTTGATTCACTGGGGAAAGAGTGGAATGAATGAGGTAGATATCTTTATTTCCGTCAAATTTTTTCTTTTAGCAAGTGAGTAATTACATTTGTACTCATTTGAAGTCACTTACTGATTTACTTAGTTACTTATTTACTTAGTTACTTATTCACTTACTTACTTATTCGCTCACCTACTTATTCACGTACATGCTCGGTTGGAATAAGTCAGCTATTTAAGCAAGCTTACTTACCTCCGATGATAACTGAATTTATAACACATGCAAAGGATATTAAAAGCCCGAAAAGAAGAAGAAAACCCGATATCTTAATACAAATCTATACAAAAGGTAAGTGAATCATTTATAATATAACATATAAATCATCTTTGATATACTCAAGTATAGCTATAAATCTACTTATCTGCCCGTATATACCTACATCTATTTACCTTCACTGCGTAGCTAGCCAGTGTCGTGGCTTCAGGCCAACAGTAACAGTAGCATTAGGGGAGCACGAGCCACTTAGCCGAAGAGTTATATCCTTATTCCATAGTAGCTTCCCTTTTTTAAGAGAATCATCACCTTTTCTCTTATGGATACAGACAGTTACTTCAGCTGGTAACCTCCGCAGGAATCTATCTCCCTTAGAATGTTCGAAACGCAGTCAAGTTGCCACTTGACAAAACTCTTTCTTCTATCACAAAGCTTTCCTTAATCAACTTTCCTAAATCCCCAGCTCGAAATCTTCATCCCTTTCAACGGAATCCATTGTTAAAAAAAAACATCAACCAGTTAGAAATCAACAAGCTGCTCCGGGAAACATAAACATTACTACCTAGTTATTTGTTATCTTCAGAGAGCTATCTAAACCTTGCGAAGGCCTGAGCTTCGAAAAGCGAGCCCCTTTACTCTTAAACAATATTCTACGCATCGAGCAAAGCATTATTGCATTCGGTTAGCTGCCCTACGTCGCTTTTAAAAGCCATGCAATACTTGAGAGTATCCGACAGCCTTTTTCGGACTCGCTTAGCGTAGCTGATATCAAATAAAATAAACAAATACATACGCAAGCTCCGAAAAACACCGACCTATTCCCGTAACAGAATCACGGCAACTTGATATTAATATGGATCATAATCGAAGTCTTAATATTAGTATAAGAAAAAAGTAAAAAGCGATTGTAAATTGTAAATAAAGATAAAAGATAGAAATAGATAAGACTTGTTAGCTATTGTTGAATAAAGATCTTTAGAAAGTAGCAGGTCGATCTATCGTCGATCTTGTGAATTATAAGCCACTTTAAATTTTTTATTTTAAATAATAATAGCTCGATAAATAATATAATATAATATATAAAAAACAACGACAGCTACTTTCTATCGCTTTGCATCAAAGGACCGACGATCCCTTTTTGAGAAAGCACGAGACGAAATAAAATTCGACGGTCGACCCGATGAAAGGATAAAAAGAAACGGAAAACAAGTAAAAGGTAGTAATCAATAAGCGACAGTCGATAAGCGGCTGACAGCAGACAATAAGAAATCATAGACGAGACTGATTCAAACCTTCCAGACGGAGTAACGGGCAAAGACATGAAAGACTTACAGTTACGCACGACAAGCACCGGTGGTTCACACCTCCTTCACCTCCTCTTATTATAAAGTCCAAGCCCAGGCCCAAGCCCAGAGAAAACCAAAGAATCCTTTCTCTCCTGCTCTCTTGTCTCCTCGCTCCCTTCTACCACCGACCAGAACCCTCTCTCTTTCTTCTTTACTCTTACTCATATCATCTATCTACTTGAATATGAGCCCTATGAGCGACAACAACCCACAAACCCCTCTTCCTACTCTTTCCCTCGCAAAGATCAACGCTGCCCTGGTCGCCCTCCCGACCTTCACACCGACCGTGCTCCGCAGCAGCCTGTCCTGGCTGCGTGACACCCTGCACCCGCTGCATCGTCTTGAGGAGGAATACACGACGGATACAAGCGGGGCACTCGGGGGTGAGGACCCAGAAGATTACAGGTGTACTCTGGAAGAAAGTAAGGATAGAGGAGTGGGAGCGACAGTGGGAGTGACAGCAGAGGAAGGGTTTGAGATTGACGAGGATATCGACGCTATGAACTCGAAGGCAGGGAAGATGGGTGTGCCGGCATTGAAAAAGGAGAGATGGGGGAAGCATGTCGGCGGTCCCTATTCTGCATCGGCGCGGGTGCAAGGAGATGGACAGGGCTCGAGGGATGGGAGAAGTGAGGAGCAGAGGAATGAGAACGTAGATGTAAGAAGACAGTACCGGGAAGATCGGCGGCGGGTGCGGCAGGTGAAGAAGATCTTGGAGATGGGCCAGTCGTCGCTGCTCATGCCTCCTGCCGGATCCCAGTATCAAGGTCGAGACCAAAGGGGCGGGAGCCGTGGTGGTAGATTGCGAGGATTGGGAGAGGACTATGTGTTAGCCGGCGGCTCGCTTGTTGTCCCGTCGAAGACAAAGCTTGATGAGAGCGAGAAGGAGGCAGTGGCAAGGAGGTTGCAGGAGGCGATGGAGAGTAATGCGTTTAAGGTGTGGCCTAATTTCCAGGACAACAGACCTATGCCGGAGGGAGCCAGGACAGAGAGGAAAGAGAGTCCGGAGTTTAGGGATGTGGGAGCGTGGAGGAAGGAGGCCGCGAAGGAGATGTGGGACAAGAAGGAGGAGCGAAGTCTTGAGGGGCGAAGAAGAGTCGCGGGAGGATATGAGGATATGATCGAGGCGGAGAAGTTGTTAGATAATGCTATGTTTGGGGCCACTTTGTAAGTACATGCTATTTTGATAGCCTACTTGATAGCGGGTGGATGGCCTCAAGATAAATCTTGCTAGTTGGCCTTATAGCAGATTATCGATGCTTGCTGACGCTTAACATACAGAGCGGGGGTAGATCTTAAAAAGTACCAGAATGCCAGAGACAGGGGTATGGACCATTATGAAGCAGAAGCAGAGAGCAGAAAGACTACTGGGTTGGCTTCCGAACCTATGGATGGAAGGAGACACAGAAGGACTGAGCAGAACCATAATGCAAGGAAAAGTAATGTAAGTTCCAAACCTACTATTGGAAGGGGAGAAAAAAGCCACGATACAAGAAGAGATGGCAGCGCAAGACTGCAGAATCGAGAGACGTCGAGCAGTCGCGGGGATAGAAAGAATGACAGATGCAAAAGCAAAGGTCAAAAAAGGACGAACAGGATGATGCTAGCAGTACCGATGAAGTATTGCCTAGAAGACCGATTGCGATTGCACGACGACCAACCGTTCGACATCACAGCAACAGCTCTGAAGAAGCAATACCCTTTGCGCCGAGATCCTCTAAGCTATGAGTGGCACCATCATCCTGTATTTCGTTGCTTTGTCAAGCTTTCTTTTTGCTCGACCGGCCTCGTCTGGGCTTGGCCTCGACGGCCTTCTTAATGGAGTCATCACTCCCCTCATCGTCCTCTCCTTCCACGATTTCGCCAGATCCAGAGTCCTCGGCTTTCCGAGCCTTCTCGATGACTGAAGCAGGGCTGGCCAGCTCTTCGGTCTCAATGCGTTCTTGCATTTCCTGCACCATTTTCACCGCTTCATCCTCCGTACCATTCATAGATCCACATCCGAAACATCGCCATTTGCCAAGATCTGAGATGGTCTTCGTTCCAGGTGGAGCTTGACCGTTGACCAATCGGCATGTCTGACAGATTAACGCCACGCGGTTCTTCGGCGATGTTTCGTCTTCTCCTAGTAACAAGTCCAACACGCGATCGTACCAATTGCCACCCATACCCCGCTCGGCTGAGTGGGCATACTGCGGAGGAGCCGAATAAGCATTTGGAGCGAACTCCGCTTGTGCGGCTGTCCCGGATTGTACGGGCAGCACTTTTTGAGGCTGTGGCTGAGGAGTATTGTATGGCGAGGGGAAAAGGTGCTGTGGGGAATTTCTCGGGGGCATGGGCTGCGGGGTAGATGGCTGACTTGGAGGATTTTGGTCTGGTCTTGGAATATTCGCAGTCGCTGGTGGCCCTATCGACGTCCTATTTGGCCGTTTCGCGACCTTGGGAGTTTTGGGAGCCGTCTCTTTCTTTGGCTTGGGTGGAATGCCACCATATTTCTCGAGAAGTTCCTGTGTCGAGTTGTATTTCGTAGCTGCTTTCAGCTTCTCAATGGTCTTCGTTCTCTCTGCCTGCTGGTCTTCTAGGCGCTGAGTGATACGATCAGCGCGGAAATTGTAGTAGGCTGTAATTCCATTGCGGACCAAGTAGATTCTATGACCATAAGTCTGTGTCTCCTAGAAAGCTGCCAGTGATACTCACAGTATGGGAGCTCCGGCGACGGCTGTGTACTCTAATGCGCTCCAGTTCTTCCATCCAACCACCAGAGAGAGGACCACGAAGCATAACAGGTAGGCGAAGCTGGTGTAGAGCGTCCAAAGCGCCTTGAACCTGCGGCCTCTCTGTCTCAGTGAGTCGAGCTGCGCCTGTGATTTGGAGATCTTCTCAGAGAGGGATATTAGAGACTTCTCGAAGGAAGCTGGGGAGTTATTCTCGCCCTAGACATGCATATAACGGTCAGCCTTGTCGAGCTTGTCATGTCCCAGGAGCATCTCTGTCCTCCTTCTTCTTCTTACCTTGAAAGGCCACAACGACACCATCTTGAGTTCGGGTCTATGTGTGATGCCGGTGTCACCTTTTCATGTTGTGACAATCAAAGGGTAGTGGGAAGGACTGAATGCTTGAAAAGTGCAGAGGGATGTTTAAAGTGAGAGCGCAGCTGGGAGCGCCGGAGCTAAGCCGGGCTGGGTTTACCGTTCGTTACCTTTGGCATATTTATGGACTTAGCTGTATTTCCACTTCCGGCACGGATCAACATATGGCCCGGGCAAGTCGTGAGTAGGAGGCGGAATCGTCGCAACACACGTACATTTGACAGATATTCGATCTACATACCTAATTACTAACTCTTCACTTCTGACTTGTCGCATTGTGTCATGCTCTTGTTAATCTGCCTCATGATCTCCTAAGTGGCCAGTTGATAATACTGGAACAATAAATTATGTTCCAGGTACCTTACTCTTCAAAGCTCTTTGCTCCCGCATTCCCCAAGCCTCGCTGACCTCGCACAGCGACTGAAGGGGGCCATCGATTCCCGCATTGCTGAAGAACAAGCTCGTGCAGCCAATGCATCAAAGGCATCTGGCCCTCCAATATCCAGATCCGCTTCGGCAGCCAGAAGGTCCAGAACCGCAGACAGTCCAGCTGCGAAACCGAAACGGCCCCGGCCGAAAGACAATGAGGTGCCAACTGCGAGAGGACCTGACCCTTCCGAATTCGAGAGTGCTTTTGTGATAGAGGACGAGTCAGAGGGACCTTCAAGGGTTGGAACACCGTCGATTGGGGACGAGAAGGCTTCTACGATGGCGGAAAGCACGCCCCGAACAAGTGTCTCGGGCGATGGAGGAGAGAAGGGAGGGGAATTGCCTGTGGATGCGCCCACAACGCCAACTCCGGTCGAATTGCCGCTGGAAGTGCGGAAACAGCTACGGAAGCTCGAGAAGATGGAGTCCAGATATGCAGGCGAGCTTTATCTAGCCGGGACTACAGAACAGGCCAGCTAACCGTGTACGCAGATCTGCTGCGCTCATACCGTATCGCGCATGCTCGAGCAATTTCCATAGAGCCGTTCGAGAAGGCTTTGAAAGAACATACTCCCCTCACCACAATTCAAGACCCGGACGCATTGGTCGAATTCCTGAATCATCTCAACTTGAAGGGGGACATGGTCATGGACGAGCTCAAAAGGGTCTCCGCCGATCGCGATGAATTGAAGAAGAAATACGAGGAAGTAGAAAAGGAGGCATCTACGGCGAAGGAAGAACTAGCGACCCTCAAGCGTGCGGCTTCGACGGATGATAGTAGCACAGCTGAAAAGACAGATTCTGCAAGCATAGACACACCTACGACCTCGCTTAAATCGCCAGTCGCCGCCGTCATGGGTATTTTCTCGCCCAAGCAGAAACCCGAGGCGATGGACAACAAGGATGTTAGTCAGGAGTTCTTCTCGTACGATGAAGAGCTTCCAAAGCTGCAGGCAGAGGTCAAGGCCAAGACTGCAGAAGTCGAAGAACTTAAATCTAAGGTCGTCACTTTAGAGAAGGATCTGGCTGCGTCGCAGGATTCAAGCTCTACCCTTGTCGGAGATCTGGAGAAGGTTACCAGGGAGCTAAACGCGTCAAAAGAAGATGTGTCCGAAGGTCAAAGCCGCAAGCAGAAAATTGAGGCTCAAACTGAAGAGATCCGAAACCTGAAGGAGAAGCTCCAGGCTACCGAGAAACAGCTTGTAGCTCTTGAATCTGATCTCTCGAAACAGAAGACGGAAGCCGAGGCGAAGTTTGAATCTCTAGAAAAGGACCTTGCAAGCCAAAAGGAGACATCCGCTAAGGATCTCAAGTCTGCAGCCGATTCTCGAAAGGTTGCCGAAAGTCTCCGTGAGACCTTGAAGTCACAAATTAGCGATCTAGAGACAACCAGAGCAAGCGATGTCAAGCGAATACAGGAGCTTTCGGAGGAAGTTAAGTCTTTGAACCAACAACTGGAAGATGCTGCAAGTCATGAAGGCGAGGAGATTATTGCTAAAGCCGCGTCTTCATCATTACCTGAAGCCTCTACACCCGCGACAGCTCCTGGGGCAGCAAAAAAGAAAAACAAGAAAAGAAAAAGGGCGGTGCTACAGCAGCTGCGACTGCCCCCAAAGATGATTCTACAGAAAAGTTGGCCGGTTCTGCGCCGTCTACTCCGATGTCCAGTGATTTGCAGGCAGAGATTGACAGGTTAAAGAGCGAAGTCGCGGATCGCGATTCTCAAATAGAGAAATTGCAGAGCAAGCGAAAGACCGAAGCTGAACTTCGTGAAGAGCTCGAGAATATGCAGGATAACTTTCTCAACATCGGTCAAGAGCATGTAGAAGCGAAGGAGCTAATCAAAACTCTACGCGAAGAGAAAAAGGACCTCGAAGACAAGATCGTCAATTTGGAGAAGGAGATTGAAACCCACAAGAGTCAAGCCAAGGAGTCAGAAAAGAACGCATCAGACTTTAAGTCTTTGACGGCTGAGTATGAGGACCTGAAGTTGAAGTCTGCCACGCTGCAGACAGATCTTGGTGCTGCACAGCAATTGGCTACATCACGATACAGAGATCTGACCGATCTCCGAGAGGTATTGCAGAAGGCTCAGCCAGAGCTCAAGACTCTCCGCACCGAGAATGCCACTCTGAAAGCCACTAAGGATGAGCTGGCCGCCCGAACATCAGATCTGAGACGTCTCGAGGCCCGCGAGAAAGACCTAAAGTCGGATATCAATAGCTTCAAGAAGCAAGCAGCAGACAGCCAAGTCGAGATCCGGACCTTGAATGAAAAGGTTACGCAGGAGACTAACAGTCGCCTTCGAGCTGAAGACCAAGCTCGCGTTGCCCAACGAGATATGCGAAGAGCCGAAGCCGAGAAAGTCCAGCTGGCATCCTCCGGCGAGAAATCCGCAACCGAGCTCGCCAAAGTACAGGAAGAAGCTGGAAAACTTCGCACCAGAGTTCGAGACCTGGAAGAGCAGGTCTCAAAGCTCACGACTGAGTCGAAGGGTCTCCGAGAAGAAGTCGAGCTCCGCGGCTCACAGTACAACAATGCGCAAGGTCTACTGGGCAGCATGCGCGATCAAGCAGGCGAAATGGCTATGCAGCTCAAAGAAGCTAAGGAGCAGACCGAATCCCTCGATGAGGAACTCGCTGAAGTCCAGCGTCTATTGAGCGAACGTACTCGCGAAGGGGAAACCATGCGCCGGCTCCTGGCCGATGTCGACGACCGCGCAGATGCCAAGGTCCGCGACATGCGCGAACGGATGGAAGCTGCCATTGAAGAGCGCGACCGCGCCGAAGACGAAGCTAGCACAAACGGGCGCAGACGAGCCCGCGAAGTTGACGAGCTGAAAAGCCGCATCCGCGATTTCGAGCGAGACCTCAAGCGGGCCATTGACGAAAAAGGTGAGCTGGAACACGCTGAGAAGGAGTGGAAGCGTAAACGCAACGAACTTGAAGAGGTGGCCGAAAACGCCTCCAAGGATGCAAATGAAGTCCGGGCCGCGATAACTGAGCTGCGAGATGCGTTAGACGGGAGCGAGAAGCAGGCGCGCGATGCGGAGAAGCAGCGGGCTGATCTGAGGAAGTTGCTGGATGAGGCAAACCAGCGGTATGAGAAGCTTCAGAAGGAGTTCAGAGGGCTGCAGGCGAAGCAAATAAAGATGAGCGAGGCGGCAAGCTCACGCAGCTCGCTGGACAGCAGTGGGAGAGAAGGAGGTAACGGAGGTGGTGCTGGGAAGATGGATTATGTTTATTTGAAGACGATCTTGTTGCAGTTTCTGGAGCAGAAGGATAAGAAACGGCAAGCGGATCTGGTAAAAACAGTCCTGGGACAGCTGCTGCATTTCGATAAGTAAGTTCGTTCCATTTCCATTCTTCCCTCTCATCTGATATCTATCCCGTCCGCCTGCCTGTTGCTGGTTACAGGCTTGGGGTCAGAAAAGAAACACTGCTGACGGATGGACCCACACAGAAAGGACCAGGAGAAATGGATCGCGGCCCTCTCGAAGTAAGTCAAATGGCTGTTCGTTTGGCGTTTCTTGGTCAGTCGGTCAGCGTTTTTATCTTTTCCTTTGTCCTTTCAAGAAGTTTACGAGCGATCCTATCTGCATGCTAGGACGACAGTCAGACAGACAGGAAGTTTCTTTGTATATTAGGCTAGGCTTGGCGGTGTGTACCAATGGATTGATTACAAGAAGTTATCGAGCTCTTCCAATCTATCAACTACTATTTATGCTTGCTTGCTTGTTTGCTTGCTCTTTTGTGGATTGGGCTTGGGGAGCGAGGAGTGCGTACTGATCGAAGTCGGGTTTTCGATGGGGACAGCAGTGGCTAGTTTGGAAATGAGGTTTTTTTTCCAGGTGGGTCTCTAGATAGGTCTATGCCATACTTTGCTATGGAAGATTGCTTTTTTTTTCGTTTTCGCTGAGGGTGAACAGTTACGTAGGTAGGATTTCTAGCGGAATCCACTTCCTCTTGAAGAGTTGGACGAGAACCCTCGCCTGGGTACTATTTTATTAAGCTTCTTCAAGTTACCGCTGCCGGAAGCGGTTGGTCAGTCCCGAGCTCCAGATACCAGAGAGCCGGTATCTTCATTACTGCTTGCTTGCTTGCTTAGTCGAGGGTTTCTTTTGGGGGCAGAGGGGAGGGGTTGGTTAGAGCAAAGGAGACAAAAGAAACTGTTATGACGCTCGAAAATACGTTGTAGTAAGGGCATGCGGGCGTACGGAGAGGATATGGATGGGGTGTTTTCGTTTCAATCCGTAACAAACGATGGCGTCGCATTATTATTCCTTTCTTCCGTCACCTTACTTCAACGTAGCCGAGTAACACAGCGTACAGACATGGGTATTATCAAAGCGCCAGTTCAAATGATAACAGTTATTCGAAACAGACTTAATCACGGGTACCTAACACCCCTTGGTGTTTTCTATGTTTCAGATTCTGGTGAATGTATCATCGATATCAGAGGTAGGAAGAGTTGGTTGCATTTTTTTCTTTCCGTTGTCGTCGCCTAGTCTATTTATTCAACGCTGGCCGAGGACTTGGATGAACGAGTTAATGAGGTGAACCACCTTCCGTTATTACAATCCGTATCATTTGGAAGTGAAATTACAGTTTTTTTTAAAAGACACAGGTGAGCGAATAGAACAACGATTTGAAATAGCGAGATATGAATATCGGCAAGATCAGTGAATCCAACATGATCCTCCGCTCAAATCAATACAATTTCGCGCCGCAGCCCTGCTTTAATCTTGCGAACTATCTATTTATATAATCCCCAACCTCTTAGTTCTTCCGCATGTTCGCTGACGCACCAGTATAGAAATATTTCTGGGGGTCACAGGCGCTGACGAGAACGGTGGCCACACATGGCTTCGAGAGATTGTAGACGAAGGCAAGATATCTTATCATCGTGGAGAGACATCCAAAGCTTTCATATCCCGAGTTCAGGATGTATTATAATCGATACTCTGGCGGCTGTGTTGCGCTGTGCTATCTGTCTGTCTACATCCATGCTTGTATGCATGTTTGACAATAGAGCCAGGTATAACAGCAGTGGGATTTTGTCGAGACTCGCATGTAATTGTCAGATCGTCGGTGCTTTATATGTTAAGAACGAAGATGCTAGAGCGGAAATAAAATCCCATATGTAGATGATATTTGAGAAGTTTCTGTACTATTTAAAAGAAAGGAGAGATTGAAAGATTCGAGTCAAGACCAAATTGGTTCCAGTATTTCGAATTCGATAGCGGTGTTACGATTGCGTATTTGAGAGTTCAGAGTTGAGAGTTGAGAGTTATTGTAGAGTGAGTGCATAGCAGGCTTGCAGCATGCTGATGGACACTTCTCCTTTCCTTCTCTCGCCTGAAATATATCATTACCTCGGCGCTGAGCTTACATGCGGAGTCTCGGATCACTCTGTGATGGGTTTCCAGGTTATTGACCACCTACTAACGCTCCACCAGCCGGTCTCAACCGCTGAACAAGCCAACCATTATTGTTTCGTACGTTGCGTTCGGTTCGAGCTTCGTTCGTAACTCGGGCTTACATAAAATAAGCGCAATCCAAGCCATTCATTATGGTATTACCCGAACACCGCAGCTGCACTGATACAACAGTGCTAGATCGAGGAGCCAGATTTATTGTGTGACCAGTCCTGTAGGCCGTGGAATTCTGGAGAGATAGATATTCAAGCCTTCCGAGTCGATTCTCTTAATCTTTAATTTGGCTATAACGACCTTGTTTTGTTAAGGCACTGAAGGCGGAAATAGTAAACTAGCAATAAGATTGGAATTGACGGCAACAAAACTATTACAAAGGTGGGGGAAAAGGACGTGTGAACCAATTGTATTGTATGTGAGCCCAGACCGAATTCAGTGAAGTCCTCGGCGCGTTCCACGTTGATAGTCATTCCAAAGTGAGGGTGTTCCACGGCGCATTTGCGAGAGTCTTGTAGTGATCTGGATCGAGGCCCGAAAGCTTTATGGGATCTTTATGCGACGCAGTAGTCGATGACTGTAAATGTTTTAAAGTGAACCCTTTGAATAATTACGAAATCCTGAACTGCATCAAAATTCTCGCGGGCTTATTCGCAAGTGATAGATTCACCTCCTCGAGTCTCTTCTTACTTTTATTGTTACTTGTAATATGTACTGAACCTAGACCTATTGGAATCCTCTATTGTGAAGTGAATCGGATAAGGTGTTATTAGTTTAAGATATATAATCGTAGCTATTTCTGCTATGATGATCGTTAAAGACTGCCCAGGATCCTCTCTCTCGCTCGTCGTTTGCCCCAAATCGCTGTGTTCTTGAATTAACAACATAACTTTAGTATACGTTGAATATACAGAGCAGAATCTGAAGTTCGGGGTTACTGGCAAGGGTAGGAATTTTGACAGCATTGGTGAGCCGAGAATGACAAACGTTGTGTTGAATATTCAGCACGTCCATACCGATCAACATACAGTACAGTAACAAAATAAGGAGAGCGTTGGTCTGGTTCCAAGAGGCCAAATCTGACCCAGTAAGACCTCGAAAGTAGAGCGGAAGCGAAAGAAACCTTATAGGGTGGGACGAGCCTCATCAACGGCATTATTGTCCCGAGGACAAGATCTTCAGGTAGGGGGTTATATAAAGAGCTGAAAGCTATGAAGGGGAATTAGGAAGGTCTAAGGGTGGATCCGATGGCTTGGCTTGGAACACGCATTCACATCCCCATATTCTACTGGATTTTTATAAGGCTAGAGATTATTCTGGATATAGAGCTCAAATGGAGACTTATGCGAAGCCTGTATCATACAAAGAATATTGATCCGGTGCTAATCAGGTCAGAAGTCCCGGGGTTTACGAGGTAAGAGGTGAATTCCATTCATGCTTGCGCCTATTCTCAAAATTAGGCGCTGGCGTTCACGATACGAGACATGGGAAGATTTCAAAAGGTAAAAATTCTTAGGCAAGATATCTTCTGGGATGACCTGCTAAACCGAATAGTCTACTACGGCACACTGGTATTGCCACTTTGAGAGGTTCATCAGATTAAATGAGTTGATAGTCTTGATATCGTTGTGGGTAGCAAAAATGCACGATTCCTGAATCTTCGCAAAATTTGCTTCAACAACCCGAGCTTGATGTAGGATTTCAATTTGTATCGCGTCTTAGCCGATGTGTCCTAAGGAACTCCGTTCGAGCGCCTTTTCGATGGGAGATCTCAGCGCAAGGTGAGGGAGGTGATTGCTCCAGCACACTTTATGGACGAATAGTGCGTAGATTTATGGGTCTAATTGAAGATATATTGCAATCGCTGCTCATGCTATGTCAGTTTCAATCCCGTGACATATTTTCATCAACGCGCTCAAAATGCGACAGGTCGATCGATATAAGGATAGCCCAGGTGTGGATTGGAACGAAAAAGCCTATTGGAAGACAGCCATTTGCAACTGAGAAAATAATAGCTCGGAAGAGCGCTACGAGGTCTAAGTTGGTCGACATCGAATCATACTTAGTGAAAGTGCCCAAACTATTCCGGCCCGATGTAAACAAATAAATCGCTTAAGCGAGTCCACGAAGACCAAAACAGTCTAGCTTGCTCGGATTTCAACGTTAGCCCGGAAGCGAAAACTTCACTCACAGAATTCGAGCTGAGAAGAAAAGGGCGAAATATCTCATGAGCAATTTCTGTTTTGCGCAATCAACGGTACCAACCTTCCACCTCTTTCGAGAGCGTATGCTAACTAATAGGAGACGACTCATCAACAGAGACCTACCATCCCCACGATGGAACTTCCAGACCTCTCCCGCGTCTTCCTCGCCCTCACCTCCCTCTTGACCACATACCTCACCCTCTGCTGCCTCACGCCCCCCAACCCCCCGCCGATCTCCCGGACCAAAGACCGCGTCGTCCCCTTCGGCAGCGGCAGCCTCCTACTCTGTCGCCGCCTCGCCTTCGGTCTCCTCGGCCTCTGCCACGCCATCCTGATACTCAACCCGACCTCGCCACCGTCGAAGCTCTGCCCGAACCCGTCCAACCTCAACCCGTCGCTCTTCAGCTGGTCGACCCACGCGGTCGTCTGCCTCGGCCTGCTCTTGATCGCGGCCCCCGTGCGCCTCCTCGCGTTCCGGCAGCTCGGCCAGGACTTCACCTTTGTGCTCGCCAAGCCCCGCGGCCTGGTGACGAGCGGGCTGTACCGGTATGCCCAGCATCCGTCATACACGGCGAGTGTCGTCGTCATCGTGGCGAACGGGTTCATGTTCGAGCGGCCGGACGGGGCGGCTGGGTGCTGGATGAGTCGTGCTGTGGCGCAGAGCGCGTGGTGGAATGATGTAAGAGCTGTTGTGGTGGTTGTCGGGGCCTGTATGATCATGATGAGGGTCGCGGATGAGGAGAGGATGCTGAAGGATGCGCTTGGGAGGGAGTGGGAGGAGTGGCATGGAAAGACGAAGAGGTTCGTGCCGGGCTTGTTCTGAGAGGTGTGAGAGGAGACGTGTTTGTAATTGCCGCAACTCTGTTAAGATGCTGTCTAGGTTCCTGACGAACTGTAAGGCGCTCTTTTCAAACAGACCGTATGAACTCATAAATGCCATAGCCCTTTTCTGTATTGTATCAGGTTTTTTATGTTTCCTAATTTGTGATGCCATCTATGCTGAGATTGCCCACGTATTTTCGTTGCCTCATTCTTCGTTATTCATAATACAAGCATCAATCTACATATACAAGCTAGCAACAGCCGTAATGTCCCTCTTGATCATCTCCTGACAAGTCTGCATCTTCGCGAAGAGCTCCGGGTCACCAATAATCCTCGCCGCATTCTTTACCTCACGGCATGTCTCATCCAGTCGGGTGATAACTCTAACAATAGTACCTTCAAGCACGTCGGTTAAGTCCGTGATGTTTTTGAAACTCATGCCACGAGCCCACTCGTACACGACCTCCATGAGTCCGAAGCGAGGTCGGGATACGAAGTCATTCGAGTCATCGGATGAGAGGATAACTTGGTGATAAGTCTGACGCTCATTAACCTTCTCTGAGATCTCGATGATGGTTTTCATGCCACGTTCTAGGTTGCCGGTGAGGTTGGGCACGGTGTCAGTTTTTTCTTGAAACACAAAGGCAGACAGTAGGGCGACGATCTCGGCGGGCTCATAAGGTGCTAGGACGTTGTCGAGAATCAATTCTGTGAGAACGAGTTCGTCGGCAGAGTGGATCTCGCAAGCTACCTTGCCCTTCAGCTCGACGCGAGAGCTTTCGTCAACGAAGTTAAGGTCTTTGAGTACTTGGATACGCTGCTCGTAGTCAGGAAGAAGCTGGAGGTTCTGGTCGGACATCAGCTGGCGAAGTTGTGATATATTTTCTTGGATGAGCCATTGGTCGTGACACATTGCAAACTATCAGATGTTAGCTTTCGCACACGAAGGAGAGTCGGAATGCGTACATGTTTCACAAATTGAGGGCACTTCAGGCACTCAGCCTTCTGGGCGATAGTGGCTTCATCCATCCGCTTCGCAAGGTTATCGCGCAACTGCATGTCCTTCAACTTTGTCCAGTCCAGCTCGTTCCACTGATCCGATTCCCAAGATTGACAGAGTCGACTAATCTGTCCCTTTGCCTCCTGATATGCATCGCCACCAGAGAAGATCTCCGGGATGACACCCTTGACTACTGTGTTGGTAACACATTGTACATCAGCGACAGGTATCTGCAATGTTTTGACGTGTATATGTTTCTTATGCTGAGGCAGTTTGGTGAAGAACTTCCTGAACTTCGGCAAGTACGGGAACAAGTCAGTGGAGTCTCTCTGGTCTCTTGAGGTCTTGATCTCCAGTACGTGAACAGTAGGAGCAGGACCCGATGTGGCACCTTCGCGAAGAAGTATGCCAGGTGTTCTAATACCATCCCTGCTGTAGACGATCAATCGCTTAGCAGAAAACAATCGTCGTCCGACAGGAGTGGCAAGTAGGCCAAGATGCAAGTCCAGTGTAAGCTGTATGACGTTCTGAGCAGCCTGATGACATTTCTCAAGATCAGTATCACAGGTGTTGCAGGGCTCCCGCTTGATTTTGGCCAAATCCGCTTCCGATACTTTGACAGCCTTCTCGTGCTCCGGTAGGAGTTGCTGAGTAGCATGCTCACTGAAACTTCGCTTAATCATCTCTTCGATCTTTAGCGCCTCAACACGAAGCAAGTTCAAGATCATGTTGTACGTCAATCTGAACTGCGATCGAAGCTTGGAGGGATCTCCGAGAATCATTTGTCGCAGCTCAGTCACTGGTGGAGCTTCACCACCGCCAGGAGCGACGATGATCACTGATCCAACAGGATCCAGACCTCTTCGACCAGCTCTACCAGCCATCTGAGTATACTCACCTGGCAGTAAGTTGCGGAACGAATGGCCATCATGTTTTCGATATCCCGAGAAGACGACTGTACGAGTTGGCAGGTTCAGTCCCATGGCAAAAGTTTCTGTCGCAAACAGAACTTTGACAAGGGTCTGTGCAAAGAGCATCTCAACAACTTCCTTGACAATGGGAAGCATGCCACCGTGATGGACAGCAATACCTCGGCCAAGCATGTCTCGCAAGCGCACAATTTGCGGCAAGACACGGTCTTCCGGCTTCAATCTTGCAATCGATTTTTCAATGATCATATGAATGGCGCTCTTCTCTGTCGCAGTGCAGAAATCCTGGTTGCTGAGCGCATCCGCATTTTCTTCGCATCGCTTCTTGGAGAATACGAAAATGCAAGCTGGAAGCAGAGACTCTTTCTTCAGAAACTGCACAAGATGAACCCAAAGAGTCTTATCCTGAGCAGCAGATGTCCTACCGCCAGGCCGGCCCCCTCTTCCCATGTGGCCAGGAGCATGGCTTGCACGAGGGGGTCCTCCTCGGCCTCGCTGTGGCGCACCTCCACGCTGGCCACCGCCTCTTTGATTTCCACCACGCTGGTTTTGGCCTCTGCCTCCACGGGCATTGCCTCCACCACGAGTGTTAGCCTCGGCAGGAGGAAGGGCCTTGACTTTATTTTTACCGGACAAGACATCATTTGCGTCTTTCCAGCCCTTTTCGAGGAACCGCTTCTCCGCATCCACAATCTTGTAGATACCTTTCTCGGCCCAAATATAATGCTCAAGTGGCACTGGTCGCTTCGGTGTTGAAATGACATAAATGTCTTTCTTCTTCGTTCGACCAACCCAAGATGCAAACTCGTAAGTATTCGGGACTGTAGCAGATAGAAGAATTAATGTAACATGCTCTGGCAACATGATGATAACCTCCTCCCACACTACTCCTCGCTCGAGATCATTGACATAGTGCACTTCGTCGAAGATGACGAATTCGACATCTCTGATGAGATCTGCTCCTCTGTAAAGCATACTCCGCAAAATCTCGGTAGTCATGATGAGACAGCTTGCTTCTGGTGCAATCTGCACATCGCCTGTCAAGATTCCAACTTCGTCAAAGATCTGTCTGAAGTCCCGGAACTTTTGGTTACTCAAAGCCTTGATTGGAGACGTGTAGATGGCTTTGGTCATATGCTTGGCTGCGAGAGCAATAGCATATTCGGCCACTACTGTCTTCCCAGCAGACGTATGTGCTGCAACGAATACCGAATCGCCGGTCTCGAGATGGTAGACCGCTTCTTTTTGGAAAGTGTCGAGCTCGAAAGGCCATTCTCTAGCCATATCGGGCACGAGCTCACGGAAGTTAGTAATGTCTCGCTTGATGTCAACCATATGAGCCCATTCCCGACCTCCCCTCTTCGAACTGGACGCAGCGAGTACACCACGTGGTTCCAAAGCTGGGAATTCAACAGGAAGCAAAGAGTCAATGTCGTCCTCTCCTTCCTCTTCTGAAGTATCGCTCGAATCCCCAGCGACAGCGCTTGCTTTTTCTTCTGGCAGCTCATGAGCGGGCTCTTCGTCCAACACGCCCAGGACTTCATCTGCCTCTTTCTCATCACCTTCGGTCTTCTTCTTCTTCCCAAAGTCCAGACCCCTCTTAAACCCCGGCGCAACCTCCAGCAGCCCCCCCTCTCCAATATTGATCACCCTCTCGAGCTTGCTCTTTGTGCCACCACCGAGCAGATCTTCATTGCCACTCTTCAAAGCTTGTTCCTCTAGTGCTGCCGCAGCTTCAACACCCTCTAATCCACCCGGTGCAAAAGGAAAGAATCCTGCAGCACCCCTTACGAAGTCTGCCCTATTCGCTGGCTTACGCAGGAAAGAGGTACTGTTCTTCGCCGTGGCGCTGTTTGCCGGTACTGTCACCTCCTTATACCCAGTAACTCTCCCGGAGAGACCTTCACGCGTGAAACGGGTAATAGTCCGGGTCTGAGTCGGTGCGATTTTAAAGAGGGCTGTGTAGTCCGTGGGAGCTTCCCATCTCCTTTGGCCACTATTAGCTACGTCTACGCTTTTAAGGTGGCAGAGCTTACTGCTGGAGCTTGTTAAGCCATTCTGCAGAGAATTTAGTAGATGGTGTCAGGTATTTCTGTTCCAGCTCGCGCTTGAGGTCCTCTGGAGACTTCTTTACTCGTTTTCGGGGGCGTTGTTCTGAGAGAATGCTGTCTATCCAGTCGTCTGCTGTGTCTTCTGCAGTGGCCGCTGACAGGTGGACCTTTTCCAGAGCATCGATCAGACTTTCAGCCATTTTTGCTGTCCTTGTCGGAAGGCTACAGGAAAGACGTTGTTGTGGGAGAGGTCTATGACTCCGTGGAAGTGATCTAAGAGCTTCACAGCTCGCCAAGACCGCGAGGCTATGGGTTTTGAATCTACCCGGCCGCCATCAAACGAGTGCCTTGTTTCCTCAATCATCCAAACCTCCATCCTCACTGAGGCTTCGATGCAATTATTCTCTTTTTTAATATCTTCAATAAAATTTCGGCATAGTTTCTCTGTACGCTTTCAAAGTACAGTGCATTGTCCAAACTCCCGCCAAGCTCCTATTTACCCCTCCATTACCAGACGTCGTCCATCCCCGCCATAGCCTCCATCTCATCGTCAAAGTCGTCTTGAAGAGCTGCTGATTTACTGATGATAGAAGCCGGCTTGGTTCTAGCAGCTTGGACCATTTCTTCTTCCGCCAGGAGAGCATCCAGATCATCATCCTCCATATGAGCATCAACTGCTGCCTTGCTTGTAGTAACTGGCTGCTTGTTTATGGTCGCAGTTCCTGCAGTATTCCCCTCCGCCTCGGCCATTAAAGCATCAAGTTCATCGTCATCTGGCCCGTCTTCCACAGCCGAGACCGTCTTGGCTGGCCCAAAAATACTGGCCCCATTGCGCCCGAATGACGAATCTTGAGAGCCGGTTGCGTCCACTGCTCTCTGTCTCGGCGCTCTTGGAGTAGCACCGTAAAGATCTTCCTCTTCCATATTAACATCCGGTCCAGTGTTAGCGTTCGGTGTTGGTGTTTTCGGTCTACCATCAGCTACCTTCTCGAATATTGGTGCAACTCTCGAAACTGTATTTTCTCGTCTGTCTTTCTCTCCCGATGGAAGCGTAGGCTCATCAAACAAGGAGTCTTCATGGACTGCCTGTGGTTTTCCCTCGTTGATCCATTCCATTCTCATCATTTGTATCCGTTTTTTGTGTCCAGTCTTCTCAACCATAGCTAAGGCATCGAGGAACCTGGCTTTTGGGAAGAGGTCGTCGAGCCAGATCTGGTAGAACGTCAAGAGATTCTCTGCATCTTTATACTGGAAGCATGTCAGCCAAGTTCGGAAATTGATGCGTGAATTGTAGCTCTTACCTCATGGCCCTTTCCCTTGAACCTCAAGTGCTTCTTTGCCCTGTTCCGCAGCTTAGGGATACCGTTCGCAGATAGTAGCCTGTTCCCCCATCAGCCATGAACTAACCACTCATCCAAGTTCCCGTACCTATCCTCATCCAGCTTTATTCGTGGTTCCCTTGGCTTTCTTGTGACCTCGACCGCATCATCAATACCTAGACCATCGCCAGCTTTGGATTTGAGTTTGGCTTGGGCTTCTTTCTGTTTTTGTCTCTCCTTTGCACCAGGAACCACGTAATTTTCGCTGAAAGGATCGTTGGAATCGTCCACATTGGCATCGTAGTTGAATAGGTCATCGAACTCGTCCCCTCCTCCTGCTGAAGGCCCCTCTGTTGGAAGAGGGCCGGAATTGGAATTTGACATGCTGAACCTGAAGTCGTAATATTCCAGTGGCTGCGATACTTAAGTTCGCTTTCAAAGTGTTGAATAGTCTTCAAATTTCAAAGTGCTGAATGATGTATGATACTTTACACGAGAATCGCGTGTACATTGGAGAGACGCGTTCTGCGTTTTGGGCACGTTTAACCCCACCGTACTGACTGTACTAGCGCCGCTTCGGCTGCGGCTCTGCAACGACATATGGATTGAACCTCTGATAGAAAGTCAGAACACCAATTGGGACATCAGCCAAGCCCTCAAGATGTCGAACACTGAGCAGAGGCCCTTTGTACCAGCTAAGAAGCTCGATACCGAGTTTCCTGTGCGCTTTCCCATCCTACCTGCTTGAAAATCAAACTAATCACCCTTTCGCAGCTCATCGACAGTGACCCGTGAGCTTCCCAAATGCTCTACGGCTGGACCGTACGAAAGAGATGGATATTGACATATGGCAGACATTTTAAACGAGTCTTCGGATATGCGCGCAAATCGGACTATGTGGCAGGAGCAGTGACAGCAGCGCTGGGGCCGGGCATGATGCTGACCTGGGAGAGGATTGCGCCGTCCTTGGTCGGAAAGGGAGGATTCGCACCCATTATGCGTCTTTCGGGGGCAATTGGAATAAGTGCTGGATTCTTGATGTTCTACCAACGATCGATACGTGCGTCTCGTTTAAACACCGGAACCTGGACCACCGAGGGCTTGCTAACAGGACCTCGCAGTGCGATTCTACGGCTTCACAGAGAATTCCCGGGAAATAGAGATGGATATGAAGGAGATGGTTGCCAAAGTGAAGAAGGGAGAGCCGCTATACGGTGTCACCACGATGACCCCGTATATTCAGGGTATGGCCAGCAGAAACTCGAGGTACTCGGGTGTATGGCTGCATGTGATCCCCTGGTTCAACTTCGTGAACCACAACCAACACGGTGTCGATACGGCGAAATATTACCAGCAAGCCGAGCGTGAATTAGCGGCCGAGGGGAAATAGGGGAGAAGGGTGAGCAGAAGACACCGTCTGTACATAAGGACTGGCATGGGAATCTGTAAGGCTCGATAGGTGTTAAATTTGGTATTCTTTCTTCAGATTCTGCCCACGGGCCGCGAAGAGCGATCCGGACTTCTGGACTTCTCAACTCGAATCTAACAGTTCGCACTCTCGCCAAGAGAGGGGGATGGCCGGGTCCGTTAGAGACGGGTGATGGATGTGACCGCTCCTTCGCTTCTCTTACCCACATGCAGTACTTCCTCCAATGGGCTCAACCTCAAGCTTCAGCACTCTCTCTTTCTTCCCCCTTGGCTCTGGCGCCCTCTCATTCTCCTGGACGTAGAATCTCCTCAGCATCACGATAGCTTCCTCCCTCAACCACCCACCATAAACCTCATAATCACCCTCCCTCCTCCACTCTCTCTGCCTCCTCTCCTCCTCTCCCACTTCCTCCTCATCACCCTCCTCAACCTCCCTTCCATTCTCCCTTTGAATATTCAACACCCCACCCGTACCCCCGAACTTCTCATTACTTCCTCCAAAAAACACCCTCCGCACACCAAACTGCCTGAGCAGACTAGCGCACATGATACACGGCTCAATAGTAACATATAAATTGCACTCCCTCAATATCTCCGGTCCATAGATCTTCCTCCCCTTCTCGGACGGATGAGGAGCCATCAGAATATCATTGATGGCAATGAATTCTGCATGCCGGGTCCCGTTGTACGTGCGGTTCGTGGCGTTCATGCCGCGGCCGATGATGCGTCCGTTGTATACGAAGACGCATCCGACTGGGGTTTCTGAGGTTTGGAGAGCGAGCTCCGCCTTTCTTTTTGTGAGTTTGTCGGATTATCTCTTCTCTTTTTTTTCTTTTTCCTTTTTTTTTTTT